CAGACCAGTGGCTCTCAACCTTCCTAACACTGTGACCCTTTATGACAGTTCCTCATGATGTGGTGACCCCCAAACATAAAATTATTTTCATTGATACTTCATACCTGTAATTTTGCTACTGCTATGATTTGTGATGTTAATATCTGTGATTTCCAATGGTGACCACTCTGAATGGGTTTTTTTTTTTTTTATCAGAACCACTGATTTAGAATTAATCCACCCAGAATGCAGAGACCACAGAGAATCTCTTAATGTGCACATGGATGAACATATGTATCTGTTAATTTTTTTAAAAAGATTTATTTATTTACATATATATATATAGTGTTCTGCCTGCAGGCCAGTAAAGGGCACCAGATCTCAATACAGATGGTTATGAGCCACCATGTGGTTGCTGGGAATTGAACTCAGGTCTTCTGGAAGAGCAGCCAGTGCTCTTAACCACTGAGTCATCTCTCCAGTCCCATATCGGTTTATCTTTAACATATGTATTTTTGGGGGATGTGTTTTAAGCAGAATTTCTCTGTATAGTCCTGGAGCTCCATCTGTGGTAGACTAAGCTGGCTTCCAATTCAGAGATCTGCCTGCCTCTGCCTCCTGAGTGCTGGGATTAAAAGCTTGCCCCTCCAAGGGTAGGGTTTAAATGAGTCCACCAGACCAAAGATGAATGATAAATAAGATTTTATTAGGGAAGCACTTACACACATAAGAGTAAATAACCACTGCGGTCTCTCTGCTCTAGAAGATGCAGCCTCTGCCCTTCACATGCTCTCTGAAACCAAAGATAGCGTGAGCCAGCCCTCCTCTACCTTATAAATGGGTCATGTCTGCCCCTGAAACCATGCCCAAAGGGTGTGGCCACCACTACCTGTTCACTGGCAAGGCAAGATGTTACTTTAACCTGGTGCATAACACACGTGTTTAAAGTTCTTAGATGGCAGAATCCAGGAGCGTTCCTGGGTGATGTACCGGAATGGCAGGCCTCCTCTGGAGTATATTGTCTCTGCCTGTGTGTTTAGGCCCCAGCCTACAGAAGTCAATGCCTATTACACACCATGTAGTTTCATGGCTGATGCCTGCAATGACCCCTTTGTACAAAGACAAGATTTGATGATTCTCTGGAAAATTAGGGACACATAGAAGAAACATTTACCCTTCAGCAGCTTGAGACAGCAGCCTGGAAGGCAGGGATAGGAAGGAATTCTGCAGAGGTGGGAGGAATCCAGCTGGCCAAGCACCAGGCTAGAAATAAAGAGAGAAATCCATCAATATTGACCCTTGTCTTGTGGTGAAAATGGGGCCCTGTTTCCTGAGTTCTCTGAACTCAGCCTAGGAGTGTGGCTGAGGGTGTTTATCTTACCGGGTGAAAAAAAGCAACATGGCCTCCATTCTATCGCCCCGGACCCTGTCCATTCCCCTGTGTGCACTCTCTCCTTGGGACTCTGCAGGGCTCACTACTCACTGCCCTCACAGCCCTGCTCACTGCCAGCCCCTGCAGGGGGTGGACGCCTTCCCTGCCTCTTCCTCCCCAGACTCTGGCTCTTGACTTTCTCTCCTTTAATCTCTGTTCTCTTGTGGTCGTCCCAATAAACCCCGAGTTCACTTCTCAACGCCCTGATGGTGTCACAATCCATTAGAACTGGGACTTCATGAGGACAGGTGCTGGTCTGCTCTTCTTGGAAGTCACAGAGCCTGAGAAGGCTCAGGTACCCATGGATCAATCAGTTGATGAGTGTCCCAGGGCCCTGTGTGGCCTAGGTGCAGCCACAAATCCTCCGGTTTTACCTAATGACAGTTTAAAATCTCAGTTCGGTTTAACTTTGTTTCGTGTGTGTATGTGAGTGTGTGTGAGTGTGTGAGTGTGTATGTGTGTGAGTGTGTGTGTGTATTCTATAACACCACGCAGTGAGCAGCAAGGCTAAGCTGCAGTTCACCCCAGGGATGCCCTCTGAGTCCTGACCTAGGTCTGTCGGAAACAGAAAAGGAGCCCCAGGACCTTTGCAACAAAGAAACCCGGCCGATCATACAGACTTCCCTGAAGGTAGAATTCACATCCAGTCTGCAGGTGACAAATGTCTCCCAGGGCTAGGAAGGGACTAAGTAGATGACAGCTGTGTAAGGGAACTTACCCATGGTCACGTAGCTCACTTCCAGGACAGGTGACCAGGAGCAGGTGTGTCAGGAGTGGGACATCCTGTGTGGGGGAGGCAGTGACCTGTGCCCTGGAAGGACGACTGGGTCCATCTTCCTGTGGAAGGGTCCAGACAGACCTTGAGTTCCCCTTGTGCCCGGGCTGTGCCTGGGTCTTTCATAAGTCTACTCTGGGCTAACGATGCTGTTCCGCAGACAGAGTGCTTGCCTAGCACGTCCTGGGTCAGGCACAGCACCACATAATCCACAGAGACCCATCTACCTGTGCCTCCCACGTGCTGGGATTACAGATGTGCACCACCACCATCCTGTACATTTAATTTTGCATATGTACAGTTTCCACACTTAGGAGGCTGAGACAGGAGGGTTCATTTGTTAGGGACTAGTGTGATGGGGATATATAACGACTTCCAAACTTACTGGACTCCACCAACAGTATAAAGTAAGTGTCAAAATAATAAATGTGCACGAACAATTAATCCAAAGGTAAAATGAAGGGATATTTGGGACTAAATCTCAGAGTAGCCAAAAGAGAAAAGTCATATCCACTCACTAACTGCTGCCTTCAGACGCCCCTCAGCTCAGTCAGAGGACCTCTCATGGCCCACAGTCACCACCAGTGTCCCTGTCACAAGGAAGGGGCCCAGGAGGTAGGGGTTTGCTCATCTGCTTTGTGCATTGGGTTGGAAATGCCTTTGGGAAGGGCATTCTCTGCTCTGCAACTCTTCCCAGAGCTTCATGTCAGGTCCCAAGGAAGTTTAGGATAAATGGCCAACTGTGGTGCCTATTTAACTTAGCAGAGCCCATGGACACCAGGGTACTGGCTGTCCTCAGCGCTTGCTCCACACCCCTGCCTCCTACCCTAAACCTCTGCAGTTCCTGAACTTAGATTCCTTCCCCCAGTTTCGGATTCCTTTGAACCCAGCCATGTTGGTGATTCTCTGTTTCCTTCCCCTTTCCCTCCTTTCATAACCCAGTTCAGTCCACTGGCCATGTTTAGTCTACTACTTTCTCTGCCTGCTTTAGATGCTTGTTTTTATTCACCTCTGATGGCAGAAGAGAGCCAGAGCCAGGAGCAGGCTTCTTTGGGGCAGCCATCTTCCCACCCTCACCCCACCCTCACTCCAGCACGAACTGTCACTTAGCAAGAAGTAGGAGCCCATCTTGGACCTCCACCAAGATTTCAGTGTGATCCTGGAGGGCTGCACAGCTCGAAGTCACATCAACCAGAGCCCTAGGGACCAGGTGGGATTTGAGGTCTGGATGCTCATCATGTTGTGGGTTCGTCCCCCTCCATTTACATTGGCAACAGCTCATGTCACTCACACACACACACTGCTCTCTGTCTGTCTGTCTGTCTTAAATCTCTCTCTTATGTGTCACCATTCTGAAACAGTCTTTTGCGCCCCCCCATTGCCCCCAAACCTCTTGCTTTTGACCTCTTAGTGGCACACCCTGACCACCTGCCAAAGTACATTTTCTCCTAACACATCAGAGAGATGCAAAGGCAATAAGAAACACACGCACACACAACCACGCATGCACGCACACACACGCACGCATGCACACACACACCTGCGTATGCATGCGCACACATGCACGCACGCACACACCCACGCATGCACGCACGCACACACGCATGCACGCACACACATGCATGCACGCGCACACACATGTTCACACGCACACTATGTTGAGAATGCTGGGGCACTGGGTCGTTTTCCCTCTCCCGTGTCACAGGCGGTGAGAGCAGTGGCTTTGGAGAAGGAGAGCTGCTCGACAGGCCCCGCTGGCCAGGGCTCACAAGTGACCAAGTGATCACGTCCTTATGCAAAAGCTTCAGAGAGAGGCAGGCACTCCAGAACATCAGAATGAGGGCAACTGGCTGAAGGTCAGGATACTGTAACATGAATAATAAAAACCCAGAGACAGATTGGGGTTCAAGTTGATGATCAGAGCAGCCGAGCAGCCAGCCGGTAGCTCTCACCGATACCAATGCTCAGCCGGAAGGGGCCAGCCACTGAACCTCAGATTGCATCTTCAGAGGGCATTGTGCTCTCCAACAAGCCTGAGAATCTTAACTTGCCCTCTGAGACTGCACTGAGCTCCTTGTATACTCTCTAGTGCTGGGATTAAAGGCATGAGCTCTGTTCTCTTTTAGACTGATTCACTCTCATGTTTCCCTGGGTGGCCTTGAACTCACAGAGACCCATCTGCTTCTGTCTCCCGAGTCTTAGGACAAAAGGTGTGTATCACCACTGCGTTGCTCCTATAGCTAACGAGTGTGGCTGGCTTTGCACTCTGATTCTTCAGGCAATCTTTATTAAATCATAAATAATACATTACCACATGAGACAGTACAATCAGAATGGTGGGTTTGAATTGGGGTCTGGGAGCAGGGTAAGGGAAGATGAAATCCAGGCAGTCATGACTTATTTAAATATCCATGAGCGTCTAACCATCATTTATAAAGTAAGAAGTTTGAACACATTTAAAAAAAATGTAGCCAGGCTTACTTATCTCAGTCATTTTTATCCCAGAATTCAGGAGGCAGAAGCAGGCAGATGTCTTTGAGTTCCAGGCCAGCCTAGTCTACAGAGGGAGTTACAGAACAGTTGCAGCTACACAGAGATACTCTGTCTCAAAACAAACGAACAACAACAACAAAAAAGGAAATAATATGTGGGGGGAGGAGAAAACAGGAAAGCTGAGGCCACAGGGCTTGACACAGATCATGGCCTTGGGCAGAGACCCTGCTCACAGCCCAGGTGACTCTGGAGCCGTCCCTGGGGCTAAGGACAGTAGACATAAGGGCACCAGCAGGGCTGACAGCAGGACTGCTCATCCTCATCCGGGAGCAGAGGCCATGGAGTCCCCTTCTCTGCTTCTCTGCAAAGGGCTGCTGCTCACAGGTGAGGCCAGGCCTGCAGTGGTGTGGGCAGGGCGCTCTGACAGGAAGACATCCCAGGAGGAGATGCTTCAGCCTGAGAAGGAGGACACAGGAGGGACAGAGGCTGCTCAGCTGGGAGCTCTCAGGGGACAGGGAGTGTTAGCGGGGAGGACAAGCCAGATCCTTCTTTATTCAAAGTCAGTCCTGGGGTCCTGCAGGGGTGGCCATGGCGATGGGGGTGTGTGAGGGGTGGGGTCTACAGGAGGACTGCAAATGTTCTGGGTCAGGGGTGTGGTGTGTGTGTGTGTGTGTGTGTGTGTGTGGTGTGGTGTGTGTGGTGTGGTGTGGTGTGTGTGGTAGGTGTGTGTGGTGTGGTGTGTGTGTGTGTGGTATGTGTGTGTGGTGTGGTGTGTGTGGTAGGTGTGTGTGGTGTGCTGTGTGTGGTGTGGTGTGTGTGGTAGGTGTGTGTGGTGTGGTGTGTGTGGTGTGTGTGGTGTGTGTGGTGTGGTGTGTGTGGTGTGGTGTGTGTGGTGTGTGTGTGTGGTGTGGTGTGTGTGGTGTGTGTGTGTGGTGTGGTGTGTGTGGTGTGGTGTGTGTGGTGTGGTGTGTGTGGTGTGGTGTGTGTGGTGTGTGTGTGTGGTGTGTGTGTGTGGTGTGGTGTGTGTGGTGTGGTGTGTGTGGTGTGGTGTGTGTGGTGTGGTGTGTGTGGTGTGGTGTGTGTGGTGTGTGTGTGTGTGGTGTGTGTGTGTGGTGTGGTGTGTGTGGTGTGGTGTGTGTGCTGTGTGTGATGTGTGTGCTGTGTGTGCTGTGTGTGTGTGTGGTGTGGTGTGTGTGGTGTGTGTGGTGTGGTGTGTGTGGTGTGTGTGGTGTGTGTGTGGTGTGTGTGTGTGTGTGGTGTGGTGTGTGTGTGTGTGGTGTGGTGTAGTGTGTGTGGTGTGGTGTGTGTGTGTGTGTGGTGTGGTGTGTGTGTGTGTGGTGTGTGTGGTGTGTGTGGTGTGTGGGGTGTGCTGTGTGTGTGTGTGTGTGGTGTGGCAGAGCAGCTAGGCATTGCTGAGAAAGATGGGGAGGATGCTCTGAGGACATTGGGAAGGGGAGAGGGGATTGTAACTGAGTGGGGCGGGGTGAAGGAAGGGTCCTTAGCCGCCTCCAGTGGGTGAGCAGGGGAAGTGCCCTAACCATGTGAAGTTTGGGGTCACCTGTTCCTAGGTGCCTGTCACTGTCAGGAATCTGTACACCTAGGAAGCAGATGGCCCTATAACTGGAGACAGGCTGTCCCCTCTCCACACAGCTTCATGGAAGCCAGAATCTCCTGGAAGGGCAGCTGTGGGAGACAGGGAGGAAGCTACCCCTTGGGAGTTAAAATTTTCCAGAAGTCTGGAAGACCCTGGGTCCAGTTTACAGACACAATCCCAAGTCCTTGCCTGCTAGCATTTGCAAAATGGGAGGGGTATATTCTGATTAACCACTAACTCAAAACTAGCATTACATCCTCTTGCACGCACACACGCACACACACGATGGGGATAGGATGAAGATACAGATTATGGGAGAGACGCAGTCTTGGACACTGACTCACTGTATTCCCCAAGCTGGGCAGGGAAGAAGGAATCAGGTGACAGAAGTCCTCTTTCTCCTTCAGTCCGTGTTTCGTGTCTCTGACCTTTCCTCTTCACTCTGATCCCCTACAGCAGAATTCTGTAGCAAAGGAAGCCACTGTGACTTGTTTTAAGATCTAAGATAAAAACGAAGAAAGACACCCCCCCCCCCCCGCCGCCGCCGCCCTATTTAAAAGCCCCATGCATAAAGACACTTCTCCTTAGGAGGCTTGGCTCACAAGGACCCTGGACAGCAGCCCTGGCCCATGCTTATTCCTACCTGAAAGTGTCCTTATTACCCAGTCCACCTATACCTCCTCTCTCCTGCAGCCAGAGATCCTGATCTGGTCTGAGGCAGGAAAGGGCAGGATCCATTTTGTAAACTGACAGCTTCCTGTGGATTAGACTTTGTGACAATTTCTCTCTTGCGCCAAATACACGAATAAACCTTAGAGCAAAATCAATCTGAGAGGCATTAAAAACTACCATTAGCTAGCTGGGTAGTGGCTTACTCATTTAATCCCAGCACTCCTGAGAGAAAGGCAGGTGGATCTCTGTGAGTTTGAGAGCAGTCTGGTCTACAAGAGCAAGTTCCAGGACAGCCAGGGCTACACGGAGAAACTTTGTTTCTAAAAAACAAACAAACAAACAAAAAGCAAAAACTATCACTAGCTCTAACTGAGAAAGTGGTAAATAAACCCAGAGATACCCAGGTCCTGGACACACTGATTCATTCACAGGTATCTAAGCCTGTCCCCAGCCCCAGGCCTCCCCAGAAGAGACGTCCAACCCTGTCCTCACAAAGCCCTGGTTCTGGCGGACTGATAATAGCCAGGGCATCTCGAAAATTCAGCCAGGGATTGATTGAAAGCACAGGGGGAACAGAGCAAGAAACTGTCTAGGGATGACCCAGGGTCTCTAGGGGAGGAGGTCAGGGACTGCATATATAGTCCTGAGTGTGATCAGAGACCAGAGAGCAGTGAACAGGGGCCCTGCAGACACTGGAGTTGAGAGTTCCATGCAGAGGACGCAGTTCCAGGGACACCGAGGGATGGAGGGAACAGGCTTTGGTTTCGTGTTGCTTTCCTGTACCGAGTCCTGGCAAATCCAAACCTACACACCGATGCTGAGAGATGCTTCCCCTTAGGAGGGCTGCACAGTGGCCCTAATACTGATGGGGTTTTCTCTCTTCTAGCCTCACTTTTAACCTGCTGGACCTCACCTGCCATGGCGCGAAGAAGCACTAAAGAAATTCAGGTCTCTGCTGCCAAAGGAGCGAGGGTTCTTCTCTCTGTTCCGGTAGAGAGCTTCCTCTCCTTTAACTGGTACAAAGGGAGAGAAGAACACAGTGATTTTATGATTGCCCACTATGAAAAGACCCAGGAAGTTAAACTCGGGAATAATTCCAGCGGCAGGGAAGAAATATATTTGGATGGATCCATGATGATCAAGAACGTCACCCAGGAAGACGCCGGGATCTACACTCTAGAAATCTTTGGAACACATGATCGATATGAAATAACACATTTTCACCTCCAAGTATACAGTAAGTGACTCTGTGACCTGTGGGTGCTGGTGGGGTTCATTCCTCTTAACAGAGGCGTGTCGGGGCTGCCCTATGCCTCCCTCCCCTCTGCCCATGTCCCCTCATTGTGGTTTGGCATTACTGCAGGACACACATAGGAGAGTTAAACTGCAATAATTCATCACCCCAATTCACCCTGCAGAGGGGCGGACCTGCAGTGTTAACTCAGCTAAGGACATTAGACTCAGTCAAGACCTCGATGCTATCCTTACGAACATGGTGCAGAGGTGGACCCTGAGTATAGCATGGTATATAAGAATCTGGGAAAAGATAGGCTGATGGATGTTTATTCAGGGAGAAATCACTTACACCAGAAACAGATGACTCCCCCCCCCAGGTTTCTGTCCCAAGGATGCCTCAGGATGCTCTCTGTCTCCGATCAGGAAACAAGAGAGCAAGCTGGGGTTGGGGACCCCAGACCTAGTCCCTCAAAGTCACGCCCACACATGTTCCCAGGCCCCAATGGGCGTGGTCAGTGCAACATGTGCAGGCAGGGTGGACATCTCACTACAATCCCCTTTAAGTCTAAAGAAAAGATGTAGGCTTGAAACAAAATTATACAAAGACAGCAAACTCAGGACACACAGGGCCAACTCAGGGTCACACAGGCCATAGGAGTCAGATCACAAGCCCAGGATGTCTGGCTGTAGCCTCGGCCCTGGATCCCCCATTGGTGCCTGTGGAGCAGAGAGGGGCTGGCTGAGATCTCTGAAGATGTGTCTCTCATTTGGTCTCTTCTGTCTCTGCACAGAGATTGTGACACAGCCCTATATGCTACTCAACAACACTGTAGTGAGAAAGCGGAGGCATGTCTCAGTTTTCACCTGTGTGACACCGGACACTGGAATCGAGTTCAATTGGTTCTTCAATTACAAGCCCCTCAATTTAACGGAGAGGACCACACTGTCTCCTGAAAAGCACAAGCTCATCATCAACCCCACCTGGAGGGTCGATGGAGGGATCTATCAGTGTGGGGTCTCCAACGCCTTCAGCTCCAGGAGGAGTAACCCGTTGCTCTTCGCGATGGTTTATGGCTAATGTCTTCTCTCTTCCTGTGCCAGAGCGCTGAGGTTTTTGTGTCCCTAGTGTGCAAAGCGTATAAAAGTGATAAGAGAAAGTTATCAGTGCAGACACAGGCTGCCCTCATGGCGACACGAACCTTCCAACCTTCCAACCTTCCATCTCCACATAAAACAGGAGGAACATGAGTACAAGGCCGGTCCAGTTCAATGTTAAAAAAAAAAAAAAAAAAAGGACTTCAGTAGGGGGCTAGAGAGATGGTTCAGCGGTTAAGAGCACCGGCAGCTCATCCAGAGGACCTGGGTTCAAATCCCAGCACCCACATGTCAGCTCACACCTTCTGTAACTTCAGGATGTGATACCCTCAAGTATGCATGCAGACAAGAACATCAATGCACATAAAATAAGTAAATTAAAAATAAAGGGAACCCCCTTCTTAAAAAATGGCCTCAATATAGGAACAGAGCTGTAAAGAAGTTAAGCAGGGCTGAGGTTCTGAGTCCCATATGAACTCAGCCTCACGCTTTCCAAAAGCTGTGTCAGCTCAGAGCCCCTGTTAGAATGCTGCAGGGTTTGCACAGAATACCCGCATCTTCTCTCACGCTCAGACTGTCCATCACGCCCAATAGCAATGCTGCTTAGACCCCAGTCATCCATGTGAAGATGGGATAATGGCGGCGGCTCAGGCTGGACGCGTTTCACCGTGAACTCATGTTTTTGCACAGTTCCCGATCTCTACATTGTTTGCCGCATAGATATAAAATTCGTGAACATAAACGTCCCATGTACTGAGTTTCTTGTCCTGAGTCTGGCTTTTTTCTTTTTCAATGCCATCTTGCATTGTGTTTTGTCTTAGCAGTTTCCGGTGTGGTAAATCACATTCACTTATTTGTTTGTGTTTTTAAGACAGGGTCTCGTTAGTCCTGGTTGTCCTGGAGCTCACTGTAGACCATGCTGATCTCAAAGTCACAGAGATCTGCCTGCTTTTGCCTTTCAATCGCTGGGATTAAAGGCAGGCTCCACTATGCCTGGCTAAGATTTCTTTATTCATTTAATGTGGTCAAACTTCTCACTTTACAAAGGATGACGGAAGGCCCACAGGTATCACATGTAAGATTCACTGTCTTGGCCGTTTTGAAATTGCCGTTGAGTGTCATGAGTGCATTCCTATTGAGGGACCATCGCTGACTTTGTGTCACCATGGCCAGGGATACTCTTACAAAGGAAAAGGTATAACGGGTGGCTTACAGTCCAGTGGTTCGGGCCATTATCATCAGGGTGGGAAACAAGGCAGCATGCAGGCAGACACGGTGCTGGAGAAGGAGCTGAGATTCTTACATCTTGATGAAAATGAGATTGTGTGCCACACTGGGCATATATGATCTCAGAGCCCACCTCCCTGTGGGCCAAGTAGTCGTACACATGAGTACATGGGGCCATTCCTATTCACGTCATTACACTCACCATGTAACACCCCAACCCCACTTAAACCTTTCCCATTCACTACAGCCCTGGATAGTGACCACCCTGCTTCTGTCCCTGTGCAAAACAAATCCCATTGTTCACGGTTCAAATCATAGCAGGGGATTACACTCATCTGAGTGTTATCTTTTGTTTGCTTGTTTTTGCAGTTTGCTCATTATCCTGACAACTTCTTATAAGATGTTTAGGGTTCTCTACAAGAAGTTCATGCCATCTACAGACATATTTTTTTGGCCTTGCAATTTTACTATTCTATATATGGCAGGCATGTGTCTTAGGGTTTCTTTTTCTTTTTTTAATTTTTTTGTCTTTCTTTTGTTGTTGTTGTTGTTTTTCAAGACAGGGTTTCTCTGTAGCTTTGGAGGCTGTCCTGGAACTTGCTCTTTAGACCAGGCTGGCCTTGATCTCATAGAGATCTACATGCCTTTGCCTCCCTGGTACTGGGACTAAAGGCATGCGTCACCACTGCCCAGGTCAAGACAGGGTTTCTATGTGTAACAACCTGGCTCTCCTAGACCTCTCTCTGTAGACTAGGCTGGCCTTGAACTCACAGAGATCCGCCTGTCTCTCCCTCCTGAGGGCTGGGATTAAAGGTGTGGGTCACCACTGCCCAGCTTACGTAGGTTTCTATTGTTATGAAGAGACACCATGGCCAGGGCAACTCTTACAATGGAAAACCTGTAGTTGAGGTGGCGGCCTACAGTTTCAGAGGTTTAGTCTGTTATCATCATGGCAGGGAACATGGTGGCTGGGAGTACGGTAGTGTGTAGACAGACATGGCACTGGAGAAGGAGCTGAAGTTCTTACATCTTGACCCATGGGCAACAGGAAATGGTCTGGGACACTGGGTATGACTAGAGCACATATGAGACCTCAAAGCCACCTCTACAGTGACAGTCTTCCTCCAACAAGGCCAACCTCCTAATAGTACCACTCCCTATGAGATTATGGGGGCCAATTACATTCAAACTACCATGAACTATATATATATGTGTGTGTGTGTGTGTGTGTGTGTGTAAACTTACACATATACATACATATATACATGTATACATGATGGGGAAATTAAGAGAGAGCTGGGCAATGAGAAGCCTGAGCCATCAGCCAAAAGTTAATAATTACTATAAGTGTCTGTGTGTTTATTTGGGGGCTTTACAGTAAAAGTGGTGTAATAGTGATGTGCAGAGCATAGCAACCGCCCTGGCAGGACCTATAGGCCATAGCACCCAGTTGACTAGTCAACACAGGGCAGGTCACCCAAGCCTGGAAGCACACCAGTCCTGAGACTCTTGCGGATCCCTAGACACTCCCCTTACACACCCCAATAAATCCCCCCACCTTGCAGTTCCTTGGGGTCCTTCTCATCCCACCCGCCGTGATGAAGACGAAGGGCCCAAATTAAGACAGTTAACTTGTTAAACGATGGAAGACTCATTGCTTTTGCACCAGAATGGATCTCTTGGGTTCAGAATTTGGGCACAAGGAAACCAGTTAGAACTGCACACACAGTGAAGTCCCCATTCCTCACACAAAGAAATCCACCCCTCAAGCCCCAAAATTACAAACATACAAACAACCCCCCCCAATTCATTCAAAGAAAGAAAGAAACAAACAACAAAAAAACCCCAAATAAAACAAATGCCTGGCAGTGGTGGCACACACCTTTAACCCTATTACTTGGGAGGCAGAGGCGGGCAGATCTGCTTGAGTTCTAAGTCCTTCTTGATTTACATAGTGAGTTCCAGGCCAGCCTGAGCCAAAATAGGAAACTCTGTATCACACAGAAACAACAGGACCAAACACCAAAATGTTGAGACAAAGATTTGAAAAGATCCCCAGTAGCTACATCAGGCAGAGATGGGGTCAACCCTCAGACAATTTTTCTTTTCTTTTTAATCCTGCAGATGCCTATTTCCAGACTTCTGACTTCCAGAAGTATAATCACGTTTCTGGGCTTTAATCTGCCAATTGAGAAGTGAGTGATTTAAACTCATTAAAAAATACTTTAAACATTAATCAAGAGAGAGACAGACGCAGAGATGGGGTGGGGTCCTCAAATGGACCAGTAGCAGCACTGGGCTGGGACCAGACACAGCATGAGCCACAGCCTTGTGACTCTGGGAGGGGCTCCCGCCACCCAGGTGGAAGGAACTAGAACAGCACAGGCGTGAGGCAGAGCCTGAGCTGAGGCAAGCAGGTGCAGAGACCATGGTGCCCCCTTCTCTACATTTCTGCAAAGGGCTCCTGCTCACAGGTGAGGTAGGCTGGGAGGAGGGGACCTCGGAGGGGAAGAGGCCCTCAGAGGAGACTCACTCTCTGCTTGAATCCCAAGGGGAGAGGGCACAGGGAGGGATGGGGGCTTTACTCTGGGATGCCAGATTATACTTTCTTCAGTGTGAATCACTATTGCCTGCTCTATTTTCCCTGGATACTGGCTGCTGGGGTCCAGACAGGTGTGTCCCAGCACTTGGGAGGCTAAAGCAGGTGGCTGTCTGTGAGTTCCAAGCCAGCCTGGTCTATATAGTAGCTACAGGACACCCAGAGCTACATAATGAGACCCTGTCTTGACCCTCCCCACAAAAGAAAGGGGAAGTGGGGTGAGGGTATGCATCGAACCAGAGACTGCGGGGTGTGGATGTGGAGGCAGATACACCAGAGGACTGTAGCTGATCTGATTCAGGCACAGGATCTTGGATGGAAGCTGGTCAGGAGTCTTGAGGAGGATCAGGGCCTCGAGGTTGCGATCTGGTGTGTGCTTCCTGTCTCTGGTTGTGAAATCATGGTGAGGGAAGAGAGGCAGTACAAGATGCTAGATGAATTAAAAAAAAAAAAAAAAAGGCAGGAAAATCTAATACACTCAAGAGTCTCTTCCATGGGGAACACTTACTACCTCTAAACTGGTTTGTTTTGCATACTTGACTTAAAGTTCTGCATACATACACATGTAAAAGTCACACATGGGCAGCCTGCGTTAGTTAGAATTTCAATGGATTCACAAAAGATATTGTAGGGGCTGGAGAGAATACTTTTATTCTTGGTAAGGACCAGGGTTCAGTTCCCAACAAAACACTATCCCTAACTCCAGATCCCAGGGCTGTGGCGCCCTCTCCTGGCCTCTGTAGGAACCAGGCATGCACTCAGGCAGAGAACTCAGAGAATATAAAAACAAGTACATCCACAAATAAAATTTAAAATTGGTAATTCACAGTGACTAATAAGACTCCTAAAGACTACACATGAGTTCAAAGCAGATAATAAAAATAAGAAATCTATTTTGAAAACACTTTGGAGGCTATAACAAAAGCAAAGATAAATTCTGGGAATAACTTTCTACTGAATTCTACATCAGAGGGAAACATCATGTCCTGTCTTAAGATAAAGGCAAAGGCAGGAGAGAGAGAAAGAGAGAGAGAGACAGGGGGAGAGAGAGAGAGAGAGAGAGAGAGAGAGAGAGGGAGGGAGGGAGAGAGAGAGGGAGGGAGGGAGGGGAGGGAGAGAGAGATTCCAGCTGTACTGAAAATTTCTGTTTGTAGCCAGGCATGGTGGTACCAAGGAGGCAGTGGGTATCTGTGGGTT